GCTTAATTCAAAAAACAACAAATTAGAGCAAGTGATTTGGAATCGAACAATACGCGTTCCTATACTCTTTTATCTGCGGCTGCAGTTTTAAAATCAGGTTAACTACTAACTCGAAAACTAAGGAAGCTGCAAAAAGACCTAAATGAACAGTTTACTAAAACTCGAGACAAAAAATTCAAAACTAAGCCAGAGTTCTTGAACCCTGCCTGTCATTCCGACTTAAAATTCATGCCATCTTTTTTTAAGTCTGGGATAAGAAGTTTTAGCAAACAGACTTCCTTCGTAAGATGAACTGAATAGATTAAAAACAATCCCCAAACGCTGTCATTTCTTGGCCTGTAGTTAAATTTCAAATAAGGGATGACGTTTGATCTGTAAACCGGAGCAAATTTTTTCTGTTTTAATTTCTAAACGACATTAAAGTGCTTTCTTATTAGAAGTGTTCCCAAGTCGTCTCTCTTCTATGAATTCAGTCTCCACTACGACTGAAAAGTTATACGAGAGGTGTTCGGGATTGGCGAGCGGATCGATTAAAGTGACCAAAGCAAGGATTTTATAAAAATTTGAGAAAAAAAGTTCGAAGAGAATAACTTAACTTACAAAAGGATAAAATAACCTGGCGGGGAAATGAAGGAACATCACGAACAGCCATATTGATCGTGTTGGCTCCCAAACACCAATTATGTAACTCACCGGAGGCAACAAGCTGCAAGTTCCACGCGCTAAACCAATGACTACGGGCATAAAATACTAGTCGGTGTGTTGTATAGCACTCAATTCAAAGCAATCGCTAAGAAACTATTCCATTTATTATTCATTGACTGGAATCTGCGGTAAACTGGTACTACCGTGCTAATCATTAGCAAGCGCGGTGCATTGGCAAGCAGCGCTATTCTAGTCCTGAAGATCAAGCGCCCTTACCAAAAGAATAATTAATCGCTTTGCGAACCTCCCGCTAATTTCGATAAATAATTAGTGCTAATACACGCACGGGAGTCAGAGCCGTAAGCAGTCCGCTTGCATTCAACTGCAGCTTGACCAGCGAATGGTTGCTATTAAAAAGTGATTCAATTAAAAGCCTTAACTCACTGAAAGTGAGTGCGAGGGAGTTTTTAACCTATGACATGCATAACCATGCTACGCGTATAAACTGCTTTCGGTAGGCCTCTTACTGAGTAGTGTAAAATGAAATCACTAGAAGGAAAACTGCCGACAGTCCTTGCAATTACTGCTTACTGCTAAAAGATGCCTCTGAGCAAGATGACAAAATGTATTCCGAAAAAATAGACAAAAGAAGGGATGAGAAAGTGTGGTAATACTTGCGTTTGCGCCGGACATACCGGCTGCATTCACAGGCAAAAGCCGCAAAATAACATCTCGAAACATGAAGATTTATGAAGATTTGTTTTAACGGTTGTCGCGGCACGCAGTCCTCATGCTAGCTCATACTCCTCTGCTCGGTTGTAGCTTTCAGACAGGTGGAAAGTACAACACTTTTAATGAATTCCAGAAAAGCGGCAGGACCACATGAATTTGAGCTGAAGAAGTTCAAGCAGAAGCCGAAAACAACGCAGAAGCATATGATCCCATGGTTTACCTGCTACCTTGAATCGAGGAACATACTGATACCAAAAAAAGCAGAAAAGCATGTTTAGGCTATGCACCCGTGTAGATTTTTATGCGCTTAATATATATCCGGACCAAAATTATTCTTGATAAAAGTACAAGAGAAAGCAGGCATTAGAAACAGATTTTAAAAACCATGCACTGTATTCTGTCAGTCATGAGGTATGAAAATCTGCTTGGAGAGATTTTAATAACTACATCTACTTGAAATAAATAGTACGAAAAGGAAGCTTATATGGGATGAAAGCTAAAGGAAATGAAAAAATTAGACAACTTTCACCACATTAGGTGTCTTTTCTAAAGCTAACAGTATCGATAGTGAAAATGTCAGTTTTTAATTTTAACATCTATTATTTCTTGCTTTTCGGAAGTGAATCACGAAACACCACGCTTGCTGAAAAGAGAATTTAGCTGTATTCTATTAAGCTATGATGCGATCCATGACAGGTATCAGCAAACTGCGGCACGTTTCGAATGAAGTACTGCGACTTCAATCTGCTGTGAGCGATATCATTAAAGCAGTGTACGCCAGAAAGGATTAGTTTGGTCATGTAACAAGAATGAGAGACAACACACCGGCAAAGTGTACTATTGGAATAGTATAAGCAAAGCTAAAAGCCATAAGAAAGGTCGCCAGTGAGGTGAAACATTCGTTCGGAGGATTTTGTGAATTTATTGCGGATGAGGAAAGCGCAAAATACAAAAGAATCGGTAAAGCGCTAACTGCATCAGCGGTAAGAAAAGCGATGATTAAAACAGCCGATCAGAACAGAGTAACTGTACTCTAATTTACCTTACACAAGTCAAAGTAACGTTACCTGTGCATGTTGGGACAAGAAGAGGAGGTGAAATTCTGTATTCGCTGGAACTGAAAAACGTAGGTGTAGACAATGCAAACGTAACAAGCTGCGCCGGGCAGCAGTGCTCCACCGACTGCGAACAATTTTACTTTTATTAGCAGATCGTCAATTGGTGTCACTTCACCATCCTTGACTTTTGACATTTCGTCTTCCTAAATAAAAAACTTCCTTTGAGTTATGGCGGCGTCAAAGCTGCTGTTCATGTACTACTACCTACAAACGTAGTTTTTGATGCATGCAAAGCAAATTTCCAGTTGAAAATCCAGGATACCTGAAATCAAACGAAGCGCATGCGTCGTATTTCTAGAGCGAATGTGCCACCCAGGCTAAACGTTCCTCTACCAACATGACGTTTCCTTCACAAAACAACATCATTTCTTAACTCAAAAATTCAACGTTCATACTATTCAGTTCATATTCTCTTGCCTCATTATGTCCAGCAGTTTCGATATCCCACTGGATTAAACTCTTTCTTCACTGGAATTTTATCATCCAGCCAGCTCGAGTGCACCAATGGCAACAAAGAAAAGAAGGATCTCACTCCCTCTCTCGCAACGAGAGCAGCTCACAGGAAAAAATATTTTTCGGTTCTAAGCAGCAAAGGGTTTGTTCTCATCAAAAACAGTTGTCCAACCTGTATTTATAAGAAGCGGCTAGTAAATAGCAGTGCACCTCTTTTCAAAAAGCATAAGCAAGAAAACAAGTTTTCGGACCGTGAGGGGCTTATATTTTGGACCAAACTAAGTGCACGGAAGGGAGCGGGGAGACAGTGGAAGAAAGAGAGGGTGGGAGAGGAGGGGGGGGGG